AGGGTCTTAGCAATAGATGAAACCTCAGGTATTAAAGTCCAGTTAGGGTCTTAGTAATATATGAAACCTCAGGTATTAAAGTATAGTTAGGGTCTTAGTAATAGATGAAATCTCAGGTATTAAACTACAGTTAGGGTCTTAGTAATAGATGAAACCTCAGGTATTAAAGTATAGTTAAGGTCTTAGTAATTGATGAAACCTCAGGTATTAAAGTACAGTTAGGGTCTTAGCAATAGATGAAACCTCAGGTACTAAACTATAATTAGGGTCTTAGTAATAGATGAAACCTCAGGTATTCAAAGTTAGATTGATATTTTGTTAATTTAATAACAATTCTCATCTATGCCAAATTGCAAAACGTATCTATGTCAGTGCTTAGTATCAGGTTTAGTTGATATCGTATTCAACTAACACCACTTCTGCCCTATATCACCTTACACAATATTATACACAAAACAGCGTGTCATAATAAATATTCGGTGTCGTGTTCTAAACAGTAACTAAGAGATCAAGAACTTCATTTGTAATGTGTCGTATCAGATTAGGTTATTTATCAAGTACGCTTAGGCTCTTAGCAACATATGATACCTCAGGTATTCAAGCATAGTTAGGCCCCTAGCAACACATTATCTTGTACAATACCTCTATATCGGCTTGCAGTAAATATGAACAAAGTATATATTCTTCTTGAAAGTCTGTTATGCCAGTTACAAAATGTGTGTGTGTACGTGGAATAGTCAAAATAAAACACATTTATTGACATAGAATCCTCACTGTCATATCCCTTTCCACATCCACAAGCAATCAATATGAATATCTATTTTAAACTATTGTTTATACATCACCAAATAAACGTCGTGCTGGCTTGTCCTTCATCTTTTTGTTGTTTTGATTAAAAGAATACAGTCACGTGTTAACTTGAGGAACAGCCCAACTAGTATTATTTTGGTTTTATGTTGTAAGCCAACATTTCAAGTAAACAATCCTGTTATTTACTTTGAGCTTGTATGCGCTGCTAAAATTGTGCTTTCGCAACAGTGACAAAACGTAGTTTGCTAATCTTATGAAATTCTAAACTTGATGGCGAACAGTTTTTTTCTTTCTGAATATGTACAACAAATATACACAGAACAGTGGATCATTTTAAATATTTGGTATCATGGTTTAAACAGTAACTATGAGATCAAGGATTTCATTTGTAAATTCGTTTATAGAGATTAACAAGGGCGTCAGAAACTGACAACCCTAACATAAGTTACCCCAATGCTATATCTTCGACCATAACGTTACTACTGTGTGGGAATTGTGATAAAACACTGTTGTTACTAATATCAGTTAAACTTAGCAACGCTAATAACGGGTAAAAAAAAATCAAACCATACGATGTATAGAGAATCCTATAAACACGTGATGTAACTCCCCCAAAGCTGAAAGGGCACGTTCAGTACAAGTGACTGTTCAGGTACTAAAGTATAGTGAGGCCCCTAGCAACATATGATATCTCAGGTATTCCAGTATAGTTAGTGCCCCTAGTAACATATGATACCTCAGGTATTCCAGTATAGTTAGGCCCCCTAGCAACATATGATACCTCAGAATATGTTGCTAGGGGCCTAACTATACTGGAATACCTGAGGTATCATATGTTACTAGGGGCTTAACTATACTAGAATACCTGAGGTATCATATGTTACTAGGGGCCTAACTATACTAGAATACATTTTGCACATCTCTATATCGTTTTGCAGTAAACATGAACAAAGTTATGTCAGATTCATTAAAGTTTTTTTTTGTTTTTACAAATAAGAAGATCGAACTTAAAATCACGTCTTTATGCTCGGACTAAAACTTAATCAGAACTATAAAAATTTCTTTTTGTACTTCCTCGGATCCTGAAGCTGAAAAGATTGGAGGTCCAAAAATTCAAGTTCAAACTCATCTCTAACACAGGTATAGAGGTATGGGCGGACCTTAGGACCAAAATGTGGGGAAGGGGTTAAAAAAATCTGACTTAATTATTTTGAATGTCATGTGTGTGTGTAATATTCCACAGAAGAAGAAAAAATTATAGGGAGCAACTACTCCCCACTTGCATCTTGTAATCCTGTCTATGTACAGAGACTTGCTGTACGACATACTGGTTTTGAATACATTGAAATAGCTCTCGTTAACAGTAAGAGTTTCATGGAGTTTCTTTGTAAAGTGTTCATCACCGAATGTGATATATATATATAGCAACTGTGTCAAATATAACAAATACAGGTATGACATTTTTGTGTAAATGGTTCAGTTGCGTGATGTCTGCTTCTTTTATTTGTTAAACTGCTAAGCATGTGCTTGACACACACACACATATTAGGGTTAAAATCACGACTTTTCGTTCATTGAATACGTGCGTATGATTATATGAGTCAGCTTATCCATAATATATCACACTATGGTTGGGATTAGTCTTGCTGTCAGTCGGTAACATCAAATAATGTTAGAGCAGGAAAGAGTGTTGGTTTATGTACTTTCATGTAACGTTAGAGCAGGAAGGAGTGTTGGTTTATGTACTTTCATGTAATGTTAGAGCAGGAAGGAGTGTTGGTTTATGTACTTTCATGTAATGTTAGAGCAGGAAGGAGTGTTGGTCTATGTACTTTCATATAATGTTAGAGCAGGAAGGAGTGTTGGTTTATGTACTTTCATATAATATTAGAGCAGGAAGGAGTGTTAGTTTATGTACTTTCATGTAATGTTAGAGCAGGAAGGAGTGTTGGTTTATGTACTTTCATATAATGTTAGAGCAGGAAGGAGTGTTGATTTATGTACTTTCATATAATGTTAGAGCAGGAAGGAGTGTTGGTTTATGTACTTTCATATAATGTTAGAGCAGGAAGGAGTGTTGGTTTATGTACTTTCATATAATATTATAGCAGGAAGAAGTGTTGGTCTATGTACTTTCATATAATGTTAGAGCAGGAAGGAGTGTTGGTTTATGTACTTTCATATAATGTTAGAGCAGGAAGAAGTGTTGGTCTATGTACTTTCATATAATGTTAGAGCAGGAAGAA